GAAATAACCCAATACTACGATACTCACAAGTTAGAAATTTCTTATCCACATCAATTGTGTTCTGATAATACACTACAATATTTTATATTCAAAAATACCCGAGGAAATTTCAAGGAAAAATACCTTGATGTATTGCCTGGAAATGTGTAATTCCCCCATATAACTAAACGGACCCAAATAAATATAGCCTGGCTAGTTAACCTCTAAAGTGCTCCAAATGAGGCTGGTCACTGGTCTGAGCACGTAACCGGTTCATTTCTCTTCAGATCTTTGCTCAGACTGTTTCCTAAGTCTGCATGTCCTTCCCTGCTAATGCTTATAGAAGTTCACTAGCTTCAAGGGGTCTGTCTTCAATCCATCTCAATAGAGCCTTCCGCAAAATCTTATTCTTGGTCCATAGAATCAATTTTCTGAACCATACATAAGTAGTATTTGATTCTAGTCAATTTAAAATATCATGCCACAAATTTTTATTCTTTACTGATTTCAAATTAAGCTACATAATGGCCAACTTTCACAAATGAGCACTAGACTCAAAAAATAGAAGAAAGTATCAGTAAATATTGGGTTGTTGGAAAAGTCATGACGTATTTTTTCTGTTTGTCGTTGCAAAAATGTATCATCACTTTTCTAACAACCCAGTATTTAGTAACCATCATAATGCTAAAAAAAGCAGTTATTAATTAAATAGCTAAATGTGATATAATTTCATCATGATAATTAGGATTTCATATTTCCAAAGAGGATGAAAAAAATCTAGTCCACCTCTGGTTTACTTACATTTATAATCTCTGTATTATACACAACAAAAATCCTTTCAATATTGAATACTCATGAGTGAGTATTTTTCAGTAGGCCTCCATATTCATCTTATCTATGTCTTTTTATCTCAATCTTAGGTTTATTATAGTTAGAAGAAAAGTATGTCTTTTTGCTTTGTACCATCTGACTAACCTGGATCATATTGAAGAAAAATGAAAAATTTAAATGTTCAAAGGCCAAATCATTTGAAAAGGAAGATTGTTCTTCAGTTGTGGTTCTTTTGTATGTGCTGTGTTCAAAAGTCCTGGGTTATGGCCTTGATCACATCAGTGAAGTCACTGAAATCCTTTTTTATTTAAGTATATAAAGTATTTAGAAAAGAAGAAAGGCGAACAAAACCACAAAATAATTCATGCTAGTAACTTCATACACAGATCCTAAAGAGGCTTGCAAGGCTGACTTCTACTTCATGTCACTTATACAGGTTTGGGCTTTTAATGAGAACAAAAATGATTTATTAAGCATGCATTTGCTTAATCAGTGCTTCAAGTCACAAAGTAATTAAATACTAAGAGACATGATTTTTTACATAAAAGTTTCTCAATTTATAAAACGTTTCTCTTGACAGATAAGGCACAGAAAAACACAAGTGACATCTGCTAAGCTTTACTTATGAAAACTTAAAGAAATCCTACGGGATAACATCACTCAGTTTTTTCCTGGAGTACCTCTGATGGAGACTTCCTAAAAAAAAAAAATCTGGAAATAATTAGAAACTATTCTAGTACCTAAAAAAAAAAAAAAAAAGTTTACTAGAAAACTAAATCTGCTATTCATCAAAGAACACAACACACTCAGAATCATGTAATGGGAAAATAAGGTACACATATAGAATAAAGTACCTCAACCACATCTGATTGCAAAAATTTAAACAAGTTTAAAGAAGACAGTATTAGATCTGTGATATACTAAGAACTCTGTAGGAAAACTGTACTTAACTGATGAAACACTGATCCTGTCAAACGATATATATTAATTTTTTATGTCAGTTTTACTTCCAAATGTCAGAAAACCATTTTCTTTTTTTTTTTAAAGAAAGATGGTACTAAGTGCAACTTTAATACAAATTGAAAGGGAAAAAGAATACATAGTCAATTATTAGTATTTATTTGAGTGTCATAAATTCCAAGTGGAAAAATATGCAAAATACAATAAAAATGTTTTGGGTATTTGTGAAAAAAATAAATGTAATATAATGATAATGCTAACAGCTTCTTAAAACTTAAAATATGTTTTCTACAGAGACCAAAAATTCCACTGGGGGTAGACTGGATGGCATGTCCCTTGGAGTTTAAAAGGCTGTCCATATGAACTGAATTATCCTTGACAAGTACCTTCAGACATTTGTAATATGACCTCATGTAAATTTAGACCATATTTTTTTGCACATAAACCACTGGCAATAGCAAGTTTAATCAGGAACTCAGATAATAAGGAAAGAAAAGCTGATATCCTTAATAATACATAATAGCTAACATGAAATCTCCCAAATGACGAGTATAAAAATATAAGTATCAAAAAAAAGTATCTAATGTGTTATAGTAAATTAAAGAAAAACAAAATCTGCAAGAAATGTTGCATTTTCCTTTCCTTTTTCAACTCTTAGCTACCTACTGTCTAAAACCAAAATTTTATCCTTCTGTGGTTTATCTAAATTTGAAAAAAGAAGAGCATATTTTAAGCAAATAAACTATAAATTCCATTTGCATTGAAACCTTGTTTTAACCAAGAATTAAATTACAGTATGGATAATGGCTTAGTTACAATTCCCACTGTGGGGGGGGGAAATATATATGTATATATATATGTATATATAATATATATATATGTGTGTATATATATATATATATATATATATATATATATGTATCACATTAAGGTATTAGTCACACATTCAGATTTTGAAGTATTTAATTAATACTAATCAATGTTCATCATAATAGAGCTATAAATACTTACAAAGGGCTAACTGTAAAATAAACCAAAAAGAAAACACAGAACTCTGAAGCTTAAAAGATTCCTTATGCTTGCCTTCCGCCCTGGAACAAAGACAGCCTACAGAACTGTGCTAATTCACAGGGATCAGCTCCATTGTTGAAGAGATGCATTAAGGCCTGTAGAAGGGAAGCCAGCTTTGGCGAGTGCTATGCCAAGCAGTCTCCATACAGCATTAACTATACTTATTTCTCTTTATCAGAAGTGTACTACTGCTATGAATGCCCTGCTAATGGAAGAAAATAGGATACAAATCATGTTGAGTTTGAGTAGCAGAGAAAAATAGATTGTTTTTAGAAACTTTGAAGACATGCTCATTTTTTTGTGTGTCCTTAAAATGAAGGTTTTAGACATCCATGGAACAATTAATGATCTACGAAGTTGGTCTTATAGCTAATTTTAAAGTAGACTATAAACTCCTCCCACGTGAATAGTATTGAAGGAAGATTACTCATTTGATTCTTTAAAAACATTTTGTGAAAAGCAACATTTCAATTTAACAGACAATAACAAAACAAGTAGAACTTCATTTTTAACAAACACATTTTTAAGTCACTTCGAGGAGGTATATTTCATCAATTAACCACGTGAAATATTTAAATGCACTCTAAATTATTTAAAAATTTCAACTTAAAAATGAAACTGAGAGACATGTTTATAATATTGCTTTGCTGGAACACTGAAAGAAAGTGCACTGCATAGAGAGCTTGAATTTCTCACTCTTCCGTTCAATCAATATCTGAGGCAAAGTTTCATCTCTAGGGCCCTTAATGGCAGGAATTCCTGGAGCCAGCAAATGAGTAATGTTAAACCTATGATTAGATGATGAGGCCATCAAAGACACTAGACCCTAATGCTACATTCCTCTTTATTTCTCTCAACTGCAGTGAAACCCAGAGGTAAGGACGAAGGAATTTTAAGCTATTTTTTTTTTCATAAAAGCATTTTTCTTTTAAATGTGTATCATCAAGATCCTAAAAGGTCCGGACAGATCTCGCAGGATGTCTCTCGAACTCAGGACTCTAGCATTAGGTAACAATTTTTAAATGCCTTGAAGATGAACTCCTGATGGGGAAGTCATTTTCTTTAACGTCTTATTAATATTCTTCCTGGTTGAAAAGGGAGAAATGGACCTAATGATTTCCCTATGAATATGTGCTTGAAGAAAGTAAACCTAAAGACTGGAAATCAATAGGTAAGTTTTTGGTTGTTTTGTTTTTGCGATGTTTTACAGGATCAGTTGAAGCCATATTGTTTTTTATTTGGGAGTTAGCTGTGCTTTTAGGCAGATCTCAGGTCAGTAACTAGAAACAGTTTAAATGTACTTTTCTTTCTATTGAGGAAACTAGGGATAAATGTAATAACTGCTTATTACAAACATACGTAACCTCTTTATTTCAATCTCAAATTACAAAATATTTATACTTAAGTGAAAATCAGGATCACTAGGAGACTTGAAAGAGCTAGTTAGAAGAAAGACTATTGGGTCCCTATTTTATTTTACGTATTAGAAAAATGTAAAATACATATTTAGGTTCTTATCATTGCTAAGAAACAATATCCAAAAATTATAATTCTATTTTTAGTTCTGATAAATAAAGACAAATAGGATAAATAGATTTTTAGAATTTACAGGGAAATGTAGAAATTCCATTAAAAAACGAAAGGAAAGCAGAAAGGTATCATATCAAAGTCCACTCACTAATGAGCTGCATTTTATATTTGACTACTGCATGAAAAACAAACTTAAGTTTTCATTATCTCTAATCTAATAGAGAAGAAACTATGTAATTAATAATAAAGACCCAAATTAAAAATTCTACTACTGTATCCTGTTTAAAAGATGGGACATACAGAAGGGTATCAAAAGATCAATAACAAATTTTACATATGTATATATTTTTTCAGAGAGTAAAAAAATAGGGACCAATGGAAGGGTAGTGAAGGTGGGAAAGAATGAGACAGTTACACAGTGGAAGAAGGAGATCAAATCAATATGTCCTTGGCAAGGTTATCTACATAAAAGTATATCTCAAAATAAATTATTTTGTACATCTATGGGATAATAAGTGGAAGTTTAAAACAGATATAAACATATACATATTCGGGAGTATACACTGTATTGTTAGAAACAAAAATTCCTTCATGTTCTTTAATGTAATCAAGTGACTAAGATTTCATACCTGAGAACAAAGCAGCATAACAAGCTCAACCACAGAAGTGCTGGACTTCATGCAAACAAGGCCTACAACAAAGAAAGGAAAACAAAATGAAATTACCGTGGTAGACATCATCGTTCCAAGTTAATTCATTATACAGTTTTAGCTTATAAAAACTTTCTTTAGAATGGAACTGCTAAAATAACATGAATGGACACATTCACTAACATATTTTCATAGCATTAATTTAAAAATATTCAGATTGTCAAGAAGATGTAGAATATACTAAAAAATATTGACTGCATGCTTTGGTTATTTATTTGGTCAAGGCGTTTCTTAGAATTAAACAAGTTGAGGGGTAGTATAGAAATTGATGAGCTAGTTAGAGCTGCTTTCATTACAATGACATTTGTTATGGGGTTATCTCCTGGAATGCAGAATTACGATCACTGAAGATCTACCTTAATCTTCTTCCAAAACACAAAATTAAAATAATTTGACAAATAGGCATTTCCACATAGGTTGTCAGTTGTTAAATAATTTTAAATATATTTAAAAATGAATTTCACACAATTAACATATTAAGTACTGTTTAGAAAATCTTCCAGTGTTCTGCTTCCAAAGTCTCTGAAGAGACATCAGGAGAAAAAGAAAGAAATGTAACAATATTTACGCCATAAAGGCTATTATTCATATCAATTACTATGTGCTGGTCACTGTGTTAATTACCCTATGTACATGTTCTCCTTTAATTTTTATTTATAATCTGTGAAATACTATCATTATTCCCATTCTACAGGTAAGGAAATATTATTCCTATAAACAGTTTAAACATTAATTAATCATCAAGACTTTTTTCCAATTAAAAGGATGACTGCTGTGTAACATATAAGAAAGCAGACTGTGATTGGTATTTTTTTTAAAGTGCAAACAGGAAGATATGACGAAGAATTAATAACAATCTCTGGATGAGAGTATGTTAATTATGATTTTTGATAATTTAAAAAATATTTTTAAAAGTCTGTCACTGTTTTTTATTAATAGACTTGATTTTTCTGTTTATGAGGACAAATATAATCAGTAAAAGCTTTGTATAGTAAGAAACGCCATCATCTTACAGTAGTTATTGCTAAATAGAGACTTGAAGCGAAAACAGTTATTTTGTTTCTTCTTAAGGTGATGTCAATAAATAGTCTCAACTGCCTTCTAGACATGAGCATGTATATTAGTTGTGGGTAATGGATAAATACCCTTCAGTGCCCACTCTGCTAATGACCATATCCTTATTGTACAGACAGACAGAACAAGCTGTAAAAGGCACTAGTATTCCATCTTATCAGATCTTTGGGCAGACAGTTAACTAATGAAATAAGAGGCAGATGTGAAAAGCTCATTTAAGAGACAATTGCTGTAATTGATCAGCAATTCTCACACTCTGGAGCTGGTTACTCAGAAAGATTAATGGGACATTTATCACCTGTTGGCTACTCAACTATTTGAAATTCTGACAAAGAAAGACTAAGACCCAAAGACTGCATAGTAAAAGGATCACAATTAAGATACATACTCTACATCAATTCAAATTTTAAACAGTAAGGCTATATAAAGAATGAGTAGACTACAAGGCTATATAAAAATGACTATATAATCATTCACCATATAGTCTCTGTGTTAGAGTTTTTAAATACATAACAACTTGAAGTAAAAATTAGGAAAAAAATGCATGCAATTACATTCAATTCTCACAAGCTAAGCTTTTACATGAACATCCAAAAGACCCCTATGTAAAAAGACCATTCATAATTTTTACAAATACTATCATTCTATCATAAGAAAAATGGAAACAAATGGTCCATCAGTGTTTCTTCCAAGAAAATGATTACAAATTGATAGGATAGGAAAATTGCGGTCTGCAAACAGCACTCTCATTGCTTTGAAAAAGGCCACAATGGTTTCAACTCCACAGATTCTCACACATTTACTAATGTGTTTTGTCTAATTAGTTTCAAACAGAATAAACTAACGGGTTCTCTTCCAAAGACAAAAAAAAAACCCCAAAAAACAAAAAACAACTAACCCTGACAATGAGATCACAAGTGGAGGCAATTTTGGAAGGCTTTTCAACCTCAAAAATTATATAATCACTTTAGTTGGAACTATTTCTAAGTATAATTAAGACAAATAGATAAACTTGTGCTTTTTCTTTTAATAAATATAGAAAATACAAGCATTGTCTGATGACATTCTATCCTTGCACACTTTCTAAAAAAAAAAAAAGCACCCACATTTGAAAATTTAAGATGTATTTACAAACATGGTTTTATATAACTTTAATCATAAGCTCAAGATACCCAAATTTGTCTCATAACTCAGGCTGTATATGCATAAGACAAATACTTTACAAGTGTATGCCTCAAACAGATTGAGTTTTTCCTTTTTGTCTCTGGCAAAAATTTCATGATCAACTTATCTAGTATCTCCTCATATGTGCAAAGTATAGTGTTAGAGCTCAGGAGTTTATAGTAATAAATAAAGACATTATTGACAATTTCCCAAGCGCTTCATGTAATAATATTAATTCAAATCTAAGATTATCTAACATTTACATTGAGCCTTATAATTTACAATCACTTTTACATATGCTGTCTCATTTGATTCTCTTATCAACTCTTTGAATTATTAATTAGTACCTCATGTGATAGATAAAAAAAATGAAGAGATTCAGTGGATAGTCCAAGGTGTTTCACTCAGTAAGTGGTGGAACTGGGACTTAAATTCAAGTTATCTAAATTGTAAGTTCATTTCATGTTTGCTGTAGAGCAGCATAAACAATTTCACATTAATAGGATGGCAATATGTGACTATGAGAAAGGTCTTAGTGCTTAATTTCAACTTGGATGATTTGGACAGCTTTCTTAGCTTTCTTGTAGAAAGTAGCATATGTTGGTCAGACGTGGGGACCAAAAGAACTATCTTAAGCAAAAAAATACAGAGGGAGCAGAGAACAACAACAACAAAATCTGAAAGACCTTTATTGCTTGGGGGATGAATGACTCGAAAGTGGGACTGGAGGGCTAGGGTCAAATTCAAAGATAGATACATATTGAAAGAAACAAAATTATAAATACTTTTGAAAGTTAAGATAATTTATTTTATTATTATTTTTTAAAAATTTTTATTGGGGGTTGGAGGAGGGGTACAGTGTTGGGGAATCGGGGAAGGGGAACAGACAAGTTGCTGT